CTCTCTTAAGGTCCCCCCCCCCCAGCATTCCAATCAGCTTGAGGTCTGGACTTTGACTGGGCCACTGCAACACCTTGATTCTTTTCTTTTTCAGCCATTCTATTGTAGATTTGCTGGTGTGCTTTGGATCATTGTCCTGTTGCATGACCCAATTTTGGCGAAGCTTTTGCTGTCACACAGATGGCCTCACATTTGACTCTACAATACTTTGCTGTACAGAGTTCATGGTCGACTCAATGACTGCAAAGAGCCCAGGTCCTATGGCTGCAAACCAAACCCAAATCATCAGCCCTCCAGCACTGTGCTTGACAGTTGTTATGATGTTTTTGTGCTGATATGCTGTGTTTGGTTTTCGCCAAACGTGACACTGTGCAATATGGCCAAACATCTCCACTTTGGTCCCATCTGTCCAAAGGACATTGTTCCAGAAGTCATGTAGTTTGTTCAAATGCAACTTCGCAAACCTAAGCCATGCTGCCATGTTCTTTTTAGAGAGAAGAGGCTTTCTCCTGGCAACCCTTCCAAACAAGTCATACAGTACTTGTTCAGTCTTTTTCTAGTTGTACTGTCATGAACTTTACCATTTAACATGCTAACTGAGGCCTGTAGAGTCTGAGATGTTGCTCTTGGGTTTTTTGCAATATTGCACGGTCTGACCTTGGGGTGAGTTTCCTGGAACGTCCACACCTGGGATGATTGGCAACTGTCTTGAATGTTTTCCACTTGTGAATAATCTTTCTCACTGTAGAATGATGGACTTCACATTGTTTAGAAATGGCCTTATATCCCTCCCCACATTGATGGGCAGCAGCAATTGCTTGTCTAAGATCATTGCTGATGTCTTTCCTCCTTGGCATTGTGGTAACACATCTGATTGCTCCAGACCAGCAAACTACCAAAACTTTTATAGAGGTGGTCACACTTGCTGCATTTGATTAGCAGCATCTGGCTGCTACTTACCCTCTAAATTCCTATGGAAGCAGTAAGGGTGACCTTAATTATACTCACCCATGTGTTTTTATTTACAGTATATACTCAATATATTCAGTTTCTATTGATCTAATTTTATGACTTGCAAAGGACCACATGTTCTTTTACAGTATGTCCTGATATGTAAATCTTTAGAACTGACAGAGGGTGTACTTTCTTTTTCACATGACTGTATATGCTGTATATATAACTCACTGATAAGTCGTCAATGCTTTACATGAATTTGTTTGATTATTTCAAGCTTGCTTTGCTCAAATTCCCCATAACTCAACTGCTCTAACACCACCTAATAGTTTTCTTTTTACCTTGATTTTAATTGGTAAATATGCTATTAGTCTGCTTTTCTTCTTAGTGAAGTTTTTAGCATTGTTTATTATTCAGCAGCTGATTACGTTACACTATAAGTGTGCTAATTAAATTTGAATGAAATTTAAAGTAATTTCTTCATGGGGCCCAGTATAGTGTAACTACCTACCTACCCACCCATATTTGCATTAATTTACCTGATTGATCACTAGTGCAAATATATTTTCATACAGTGTCTCCAAAATTTTGTAGCTGAGTTTGTTCTTTGTGTTTTTTAATAAATGTATTTTAGTTGGACCCGATACCGTTGCAGTAACTGTGAGTCCTCCAGGGACAACATTCACCCCAGGAACCAGCCTCACCCTGTCCTGCTCAGCTCAGTCCAGACCTCCTGCACAGTTTCAATGGGCTCTTAATGACACACTGCTGAACGAAATGGCCGATAAACTCCAGCTGACGAATATTAAGGAGAGTCAGAGTGGTAATTATGTCTGCTGGGCTCATAACACCATAACCCAACGGTATCATTCATCTGAACGTTCAGTGATCACTGTTCAGGGTAAGTGAGAGAGATGTCAGCTACTGGTCTAATTTTATTTGACTCTTAGGTCTGGTTTTCAATATTCTTTCCTGGCCGGATGTACAGGTTCTCCCTTTTTGCTGTTAATTAGGGGATTTTATCTTTATTTTATTTTGCTGTTCTTTTCTCTTCTTTATACAAATAATGTTTGTATGAAAGGAAAATAATAAATAATGGATGGTAAGGTGATTGCACATAAATTTCAATTTTCTCATTATTCAGAGACACATGCTACTGACTTTGGGTACCTCTTCACCCAGGTACTGGTGTGATGTATTGACATTTAGGTATAATAGTTACCAGCTAGGTCTGCTTTTTATTTTGACACAGTGTATATCATTGTCTTTTTTTCCAGAAATATTTTCAGAAAACCAACACATGCAACATAAAAGAAAATAATCACCCCCCCCCCCACACACACACAGCTCCTTGTAAAAGCGATAGGTGCCTGAAATATCATTCATTTTTAATCTATATTAATCGCATTTCATTTTGCATGAGCAAAGAGACTCAACAAAAAAGATGCACTTAACATGTTTATTGAATATCTTGAACACGAGTTAGATGCATTCCATCTGCCACAGAAGTGCAATACCATGGACCCATATCAAAAAGCAAGATTTTTTGCTTAGCCGGACAACTTGTAGGATTTAAGGTACCTCAGTTTAAATGGTCTTTATCTTCGTTCACTTACAATTAGCCCGAACTACCGTAAATCCGACAAATAATCCAACTAATCATGAAATCCAATTCTAGCCCGGTTAAAATGGCTGTGCCCTTTTTCAACAGAAGGGAAAGTTGTAGTTTTATACTGTTTAAGCACTACTTCTCATTTGTGGCTCATTAAATCGGTTACACACACTATACTGTCCAACTTATCTGTTGATGTGTTGCTACGGAGTTTTATACATAAAGCACCACGCATAATGTGTTAACTGATATTGCTAACAATGGCAATTAACAGGGCTAGAATTCGATTTCATGATTAGTCGGATTATTTTTCGGATTTAAGGGAGTTCCGGCCAATTGTAAGTGAATGAAGATAAAGACCATTTAAACTGAGGTACCTTAATTCCGACAAGTTGTCCAGCTAAGCAAAAAATCCATGATATGGGTCCATGGTATTGCACTTCTGTGGCAGATGGAATGCATCTGACTCGCGTTCAAGATGTTCAATAAACATGATAAGTGCACGTATATTCCCTTTTCTTGAGTCTGTTTTCTGTTTGCTCATGCAAAATGAAATGTGATTAATATAGATAAAAAATGAATGATATTTAATCGTGATTAATCGAAATTAATCCACAGCAACCCTGTGATTGATCTGATTAAAAATTGTAATCGTTTGACAGCACTAATATATTTATGTGTGTGTATAGAGAGAGAGAGAGAGAGAGAGAGAGAGAGATTGATTGATTGATTGATTGAAATAATTGCCAGGATACATTTTTAGAAGAAATACTGTAGTAGACGCCCTTAACAGACTATTTTGTTCCTGCCAACTGTGAAATACACGGGACAAATTGTGTCACAGATTGTTTCTTTTTAACTGGCACAGTTTTAATACAGTTACAGTTTTAATATCCTCGCTGATACAAATACACTTGGATCTGGTTTGTAATAATCATTCAGAGCTTGGCCTACAGGTGCTCTCTTTCCTCTGTGATATAGGACATATTATTATCATCATTATTCTATATTGCTGGTCTTTTCTATACATTTGTAGAAATGGTGTTTATAATTGAGTAATTTCATTTCAGTTACAGCAGAAATAAAGGCAGTTTGTTAGTAAGATGCATTTACAGCTGAGGTGTGAGAATTGTCTAGG